AATATAAAAGAATAAAATGTTCCCTCGTCAAGTGTTAAAGAAATCGTGGCTGAGACACTTGTGACTCCCCTGCCTCTGTCTCGCTCTTATAAAGTCTAAGGTTTACGAGGGTTTCCACAGCACCAATCCAAACTTTACCCCACCGCCAGAAATTGCGTGTGTGTGATGAAAGCCAACGGAGTTCAGAGGAGGCTGGTCTGACTGTCTGGTTCTTGTTAGCGAGCTTTTAGCTCCGCTTTCTCCCTGTGGACGAGACTGGAACTTTGATGTGGAATTAGGGCAATTTGAGGTGTGCAAAATTATATTTCAATTTGTCTTTTTTTTTTTTTGTAGATTATGCCTGAAAACAAAAACGTGTTTTAGTAGACTCGGTCTCTCAATCAATTTGTAATCGGATCTATCACAATTCGTCATAATAACTCTACATTCCTTATAATATCCCAGAAAAGACTTAATTCCCTTTATTTTTCTCTAATCCAAATTATTGAATTATTAATATGAAAAATGTCAAGAAAAATATGTAAAATGTTAACTCGGACTTCAGCTTCATAGAGTTTGGTGGATTCAGGTGTTGAGAAGTTGGTATTTAAAGCTTGAGACTGACGGTGAAAGGATTTTTTTTTTTAAAAATGTAAATGACAAAACATTTGTGTTGACTGATAAATGAAAGCCTCATTTTGACATTCCTAGTTTTGACATATGTAAATGTTTATCAAAGAACAATTGTCCTCTTGTCTTTTGTGGGAAATGTTTGCGTCTCTAAAACACTAGTCCTAAAACTGAATGTCTTCAATACCGTTATCAGACCTAGAGCCATCGGATCAGAGCCAGAAGCTAACAGCTTCCAGCTGAACTTTTCAGTCCTCCTCTGAATTTGTCCATATCTTAAAGTTTAGTCACCCAACAGCTGCTTGTCTGCCCTACACCCACCCCACAGTTGTGTGTGTCTACACAGCTGTTTCCCTGGCGTAAGAAAGGCGACACCACCCTTGTGAGTGCTGACTTGCCCCATTTTCTTTATAGGCATTTGTGTGTGTGTGTGTGTGTGGACATTTGTGCTACTGCCACTTTGTGTGTGTGTATTCCCTCAAGGTCACTTGCTATGTTGCCACTTTGTGTGTGTGTGTATTCCCTCAAGGTCACTCAGAGCGATTGACGGCCCCCTTTGAAATCCACTTGCGTTGCAGTTGTTCATCTCTCAGAGGTGACACCTGCTGTGGAGTCTTTTTTTATTTCTCTTTACGATCTGCCAGCCAACAACCTGCTTCAAATTGCTATATTTTGTCTTGGCAGGAGGAGACAGCCCATATAACATCTAGAGATGCCGCCTAGTAGAGAAGTTCAGGCGTTGTTGTTAGGTGGCGGAGCAGAGTAGAAAGACACTTCTTTCTGTTGTTGCTGCTGCTGTGTTGGAGAGATTAACTGGACGTAACAGTCGAGTCTCCACGTGCCCATTGTTTTGTGCTCATTTTAACATACATCTGATGGATTAAAATGGGCCATTGTTCCGACGCACGCCATGTGGTGGAACCCTGTGGTTCTGTGCTCCATACATGTTCGCGCTCACAACATCCTATTATCGCAAATATTGTTTGGTGTCCGCTTGTTGGTTCGTTTTTGCACTGATTTAGTAGGATGTTCCCAGGGGAGCTGTCAACATTTGGAGGACAAACTGTCTGTTGTCCACTCTGTTGTCTTTGCATAGAACTGCTCCTCTGGGAAAAGCTGTGTGGAGGACTGAGTTTTTTCTTTTATCTTACGTCTCGTATTTCTGTCAGCTTGTGTTCTGTCCTTTCTCTACTATTTCTGTCTCTGTTTGTACATCGACTGATTTGAATTTGTCATGTGACGGTTTCGTCATGATTGGGATTGACCGTCTTTCCAGACCCGGACTGGGCTGCAGTCTGTTTTATCCCACTGTCACTCCACTTTTAATGTTGCTCAGTACAGGGCTCGACCTGCACTCACCTCTGACATGCAATCAATGTAGAAGCTAACAAGATTGAGCACCACTCCCAAAGTAAGACGCTTAAAGCTGTGAAAGAACTCAGGTAGGGAGAATTAGGGTTGTTTGGACAGGGCTGTTGTTGCTGCTAGCTGGA